TATCATTAGAAATCACCATAGATTGATGGATTAACTAATTAATGAGTAATTTCCGTCACTGACTGACGCATGTAAGCTGAAGAACCCCTGTTAATTAAGTGGTACCCAGTAGCAGTGGTCATTTAATGCGTCAACGCTCAGTGCCTTCGTGATGTGAGTGTGTAAAGTTTTTGGTAGTGAACACGATGATATTCACCTAGTTATTTGTATTTTTAAGTTAGCCTAACCACTCTTTAAATGTACTGTATGTATGATATTGAGATGACTGAAAAATCAAAAGTTTTCATGCTGACTTTGCGGAAATCAAATTGCTGAAAACTCACAACTATAGATGATTTCTGTAAGTTTTATAGAGTTTCTTTTGGGTCCGATTTGTTGAAACTCATGAGGATCATGATCACAGATTTAGCATAAAAACACTGAAAGCTAACATGCAAATTGGTTTTGAGGTTGTAGTATATAGAAAAATATATATCATGCCTAACAGTTTATTATTATATATTATTATTATTTCCTTTAATTCCTACAGGAACATAGCGCTTCAGCTGCACGTCTCCATTGTGTTCGGTTCTCTGCTAAAGTTTTCACCTGGCTATAGGTCTGCCCACATGCTTTCATCTCCTCTTCACATGACCTCTTCCAAGTCACTCTTGGACGACCAACTCGCCGCTTTCCTTTCGGGTTCCACTCGAGCAATGGCTTCTCTAGTGATGTCACTTGATGGTTTCCTCAGAGTTTGGCCAATCCACCTCCATTTCTTCCTGCACCTAACAGTTTACATAGTTATATAATTAATTCTGAACTAAATTTTCAATGTAGGACATTATGCGAAAGTGAGGTTTTTCAAGTTTCCATACTTCATAAAGCACATAAATGGTGGGGAAAGAAAAAGAAACGCGAAGAAACTAAAAAAGGCGAAAATATGAGGCTGGAAAAATAATTACATGGATAATTATGATGATTTAGTGGGTCTATGAATTCAAACATCAGTGGCACAGTGGTACAATGCTCTCCAACCACACCTCATGGTGTTCGGGATTTGATCCTCCGCCAACACATTCCTTTACTTCGCTAAGCTAGTAATAAGAATGGTAAGGAGGGAAGGTTGGTAATGAGGCTAGCAACTCTATCCCATAAAAATATATACCACAGCTACTGAAACTTCAAAGCTGTAGCTTAAAGCCCTATGTTCCATTGGGAACATATAGGAAAATAAAAGAGTTCACACATAAATAATGCGTCTACATGATCGAGGAGCCATTTTGAGCTATCTCTCCAGCAGTCTCCAGATACTGGTTCTTAGTGTCAGACAGGCAGTCTGGACGTCGTTACATGACTCAGACCAACTGTCAAAGTTTTCATGGACTGACGTTAAGTTTTCTTATGATTATTTTAATACTTATCAGTCTCAATAAACATGCAAAATCTTCGAATTATAAATTACTCACTGACACAACTGATTCATATTCTTTAACACTGTTTATCAACTTAGTTGAAGTTATTTGAATGCATGAAAACTGCCTTGTATATCTTTGACCAATTTTTTCAGGTTGCTAGTTTTTTTAGATCTCTCTAAATTTGCTTTTTATCCTTTAATCCATGATCCTATAATACTATGTCATCAGTTTGAAAAAGTTTGCAATTAAAAATGAGAATAATTTTGTTGATTTCAAGAGTGTTTTACAGCAGTTATGTCAGCTAGCCTTCCGCAATTTGAACCTTTATACTCCCACTGATGAACTAGCTGATAAGGCGAAGTGCACCCCACATCCTGGTTCAAAAATCCAGATTGTATTAAGTTAACCATAGTGAGCTTAAACAGTTGGATCCCTCCAGTTCGCATTATTTTTAGTATCGTTTGTGTGTATTTCATAAATTTCTCACGCAATAAAAGAATACTTCAGCGTCTTGTTAATAGTTTCGCTCTTCAAACATGAATTTTTTGAACAAAGTTTCCATTGCCAATGTTAGTACCTTTTCTTAAGGATTTCTAAGGTCCGCAGATGGTTTATAATTGAGTGATTTTTGTTTAAGAGCAATGATATACAAAAAACAGTGTTCAGCAGTCATGGGAAACTCTGTCTAAAATGGTCAGAAGACAGCACCCAGGTTCCCATAAAATAATTGCTGCATATTGTATGTTTGTTGAGGTTACGTGAAGAATACAAATTAAGGAGGGCAAGTCATTTGATGAAGCTACAACGACTATGCTGGCTATACTAAGTGTTACGCAACCCCACCTACCCCCTTCCTCGAATAGCAATATTTACTGAGATAGGATTAGTTGTGCAAGCAGTTAGGGGTGGATAAAATCAAAACCTGGAATCAGTCGATGAAATCTTTGAATGTTGGTTTGAGTCACGTAGATAGCTGCAAACTACATGGTTGGAGTCCTCCAGACTCTACAAATCAATGGCTTCGGGCAATGGGTGATGTGGCTCAAAACTGTTCTGAATAGCACACACGTGCTTACTATTTGTAATCTCACAGATTCATTGAGTTCTTATATTTCTACATATAATTATTCTTTCTGTTTTGCATTTTCTTTCATTTAGGATTCCTTTGAACTTTTCTCTATACCTCTGTGTATTATATGAAATGTGGCAACCTGAACCTCTGCGCTTCTGTACAAAGTTCCATACTGAAATTAGGTCACTCGAAATAATTGTTGTGACATAGAAACGCATATGAATAAAACCTTAATACATTATTAGTGTGTGCACCTTTCGATGCTTGTTTTTTTATTGTACAGATCACATAACATAAAAGTAGCATTTACCGGGTAACATTCTGAACATAATTTTTTACTGACAATTGCACAACTTCATTTTCATAGTTCAAGTTCTTCTTTTCACTCTGTCACACTGATATACAGTCTTCCAGATATGCGGACTAGGAGTTGAGTCATTCCTATCTCATGTGTTCTTAGGTGTTCCGATAAACAAAGCTTCTGTTATCATTTTGTCTCTCTGTCTTTTGATGTTTTTATATCAAATACTAAGACTATCACTTTGAACAAAGCAAGAACAACAGTGGTTTGTGCAGAATAATATGGTACCATCATTTATTTCGTTAGCCTCTCATCAGTTGCTTACAGCCTAAATTTATTTTATTATTATTAAGTTCATGTACAGAAATGTTTTAACATAATTGCAAATTTTACATGATGTCAGTTGAAAGGAGGTCCCGAACTTAGTGAGAAGAGCTCAGAAAATTACGCTTGTGGAGATTTTGCACAGGGAGTTCAAGTCTAAGCAAAGTATATGTATGGATACAATGGTAAAGGAGTTACGTAACAAAGACGAGGGGTGTGTAAGGTGACGAGTAACTAATAAATTGGGTGACAGTGTACTCAGTTCAACTCAAATCATAGAAAGAATAGACAAGCAAAACTACACTATATCAAAGGAGTGTGATGTTTAAGCCAAAGATTAGGTAATCAAATGAAAGAGGGAATAAAGACATCCAGTTACCAGGATGGGCAAGGAAAGACTGATAACTGCTTCTTTCTGAACACATCAATCAGGTTCCAGGCGTTTGATAGAGATTGCTTAGGCAAACTTGAGGAGAACTGAGCTTTTTGTCTATGCACAATTTTAAAGGATTTCGCAATTTCCACCTCATGACCTGTATCAAGGAGATGCCTAGTAATGGCACTGTTTTAAGCGTTTGTTCCCTTGAGACGTAGGCTTTTCGATACATATACGTATACAATGGTTCTCTAACCGATTTCAGCTCATGATGAAATCCTCCATCCAATCAAATAAAATTCCCTACAAACCAATACTTGAAAATTTTCGATACATGTTCAGGAAATCAGAGGTATGCCCTTTTTTCTGTTCTACTAATGTAACTGCCCCCGGAGATACACGTAAATTTGTATATACAGTCTAAGTTGACAGTTAACACTTTGTCCTATCATCTTGTGTGGTTGTGTCTGCGACTGCATGTAGTATTATAGCTGAGCCTTCTTGTTAGTAGGGTCCGGTAATTCACTCTACTGCATACTGCTACGAACTACATCATCTTGTAAATAATACCGTTTCACCATGTGGTCTTTACAATAAACAAACTTATATGGAGTTACACGCTATCCACAATGCTCAAGTTTTACACCTAATATTAAAATGCATGAGCACTTATCAAATTAGTTAAGTGAACTGAGACCTGGGTAAACCGCCAACTTATTATAATTATAAGAAAACCCATTAGATCACTTACAAGTGGTTAGAACCTAAGCCTGAAGGAAGTCTTCCAACTTTTTTTAAAGAAATAACTCATAAATACAAGCAAATAATTCGTTGCCTCTTTAATTCATTAAAATTTGAAAATAAAGTTAATATATGTTCAACTCAACTAATAGCATATTGTCTGAAATAAGTGACAAAAGTAAGAAAACATTTCTCAGTATAATGTAAAAACTACTTTTAGCTATTTAAAACAATCTGTTGTTAGAAAGACTTCACCACACTCACAAAGGTGCATCGGTGATTCACTGGTAGATTACCCACCACCCACGCATGTGGTCCTGGTTCGATAACCGGCTAATGCATTTCTACACCTCATCAAGCCGACAGTAAGGCCGGTACAGACAGAGAAAGACGAGTGTGAGGCTAGCAATCCCATACTCTAAAAAGAGCATCACAGCTACCAAATTTTCGAAGCTTAGGGGCTGAAACCCCATCTTCCATTCGGAACGCAAATGAACGAAGAAGAAAGAACTAATGGTAAATCACACACTGAAACCTAATAGACAGGATTCAGTGAATGCTAAAGTAATCATCGTACAATGTCATCACTTCAAACGACATCATAAAAACCTATTTAAACTACTTCTAACCGTATGTCACTATCTCCATTCAGTTTATATTTTAAATAGGAGCAAACAACAGAAATGATTTTGAAATAGTTATCCCACTCTATTACATACGTTTAATGTAAATAACCTTTTTTACAATTAGAAATAACAGTCATTTGATTTTTTGATTTTCTTTTTTCAGTGAAACTGAAGGTGTTCATTGAATGTCGACGTGATTGTTCAAATAAGTGCAATCATAGTTTATTTGTGTACTTAGCCAATGAAGTAAGCAGAAAAAGGCTTTTTGACCTTTGTAAATGGGGCTTTTTAAAAAACTATTTTAGAGTAAATTTTTATTTATTTCATTTTTTGTGTTTATCTATTTTCCATCTAATGCTCGATTATGTGAATGAAACACAATACTAAGAATAAAAAGTCTAGTTTACTATTTCAATATCTGCCCAAATGCTACCAAAACCTTAAAACGGAGGTCTAAATATTTTTTTAAAATAAACTCTTTCTTTATTTAATTCAGTTTGGATTTTCTCGTCGATTGACTGGACCAAAGGGCTCGGTCTGAGGTTGACATGTAGGCTGCTTGTGCAGATGCGTCGACAATGTCTGGTCATGTAACCTGAAGTCAATTGGTTGATGGTGACTAACAATGAAATTCAGGATGCACATTTCGTCCTATTTTGGACGCTTCATCTGGATGCACCTGCATTCACCAGTGAGGGGGGTGTTCCCACAGGGACTAAAACTCATTGCTCATAGTTTCAAACGCCACAAAGGCCACCTCTTGTGCTTGACTTCAAGTTACATGATCAGACATCTTCGAAGCATTCACATACGGAACCAACATGTCAACGTGAAACCGAGGCCTTCGGTTCAATCAATCGATGGGAAAATCTAAACTGAATTTAATAATTCATAAGGTCCGTTGCACAAGAGGTATCTACCAATTTACATGTACGTGCCAAAGCACATACATCGGAAGAACAGAGAGAAGGGTTATTGTCCGCATTTCTGAACACATACCAAAGAACCTGAAACTGAAAGGTCCACAAGTATTAAACAGTGCAATTGCGCGTCATCTATTAGACACTGGTCATAATGTAGACAACTTGAAGTCATTCAAAATAATCAACAAGCAAAAGAAACCTAACTTGCTACGCTTTGCTGAAGCAATTGCTATCAGACGACTTAAACCAAATCTATGTACGCAGAAAGAGACAGTGGTGAATCTTGCACTGCTCTGGTGACAACAAAATATACAACTTGTATGAGTCACCTTTTTTCTTGTTTAGAAAACTCTACTCTCTCATCTAAACATGACTCACCCTTTCTTGTTCTTTTCTTTTCCTTCTTTTCTATTGGCTATTAGATAAAGCATATTCTTTAGTTACGTAATCTACCGCTTTGTTCAAGTTTATTAATGGGAAGAATTGCATGAAGTTTTTGAAGGAATTATAATAGTCATAAACAGGAATAGTATAACTTTATTATTATACTAAATCATTTAAATCAAGATTAGCTTCTTACTTTATTAATGCCTACATTTATAAAGGAAATATTAGTTACACTTGTGACATTCACAATATACTCCCTAAGAAAGATTCACTGATGCTTGTTTCAGCGAAAATAGGAATTCAGACAACCACGAAAGCTGACTTGAGAAGCACCCCCATATGTCATCTTCATTACACTATCTGAACTGTGGAAACTAAGGTAATATGAAGAGGAAGTTGTAAATCCAGAGGAATAATCATTTGAAGGTCAAAAGTCAGCTCAAGAAAAACAACTTTAATGTGAAAGGGAAAAGAAGCGTAATCTTTGAATGAATACAAAGGATAATGAAAAAAACGTGTTTCCAAAGCTTCAACGATAAACAAGCAACAAACAAATAGCATAAAAAACAAAGCTGCATCAACGAAATGACTAAAAAAAGTATAAAATTGATCATTGTTTCACATCCTTGTCAAATTCGTCCAATCATTTCACCAGAAAATGAACCCAGGTTCTTCAAGCTGCTAACGAAGCACGTTAACTAGTAAATATTCATTGGGTCTGAATCTATTGGTCAGTGACGAGAAATTACAGTTAGTGGTATTGAATAGTAGAGACATTATACCGCCAATCTAAAGAAGCTTCAAAACTCATCACACACCATGAATGTCTTGAGTTTGATGTTTAGAGGAATCGTAACTGGTGAAGAAATAGCTTCTCAGTACTTTCTACTTCTTGACAGTTCTCTAACTGTTTTCAGTTTGCGATGAAATTCGTCTAAAAAAAGTCTATCATACTTTTAGAAGTATAAAATTTCATGCTTAACAGCATGAGTCGAATCTAGCCTTATTACTTCAAGCATACATTTATATCTGGATGCAGTTAGCTTCTGTGATACACAGGTCAGCTTTACGCCATTGGAATGAAGAACATGTAGTAAACAGTACTAAGTAAGCCTTACAAATTCCTTCGTAAGGTTTGTGAGAAACTGAGGGAAACTACTTTGGAAAATCAGGGAGTACCGTACAGCTTTCTCGTCCTTGTTTGGGACTCTTCAGTGTCACTCGTTAACTGATGTTAGCTCGGGATAGCGAAACAGCCGTCCAGTACTCTCTGCTGGTTTTCTAGTGATTCTTTACGTGGTGTCAACTCGTAATGAAACTTGCATCCAATCAAATCCCAAAATCCAACTCCTGAAAAAAGAAATACTTTGAAAGGCATAGAAGTTTTAAGGCGTCTCCTTAGAATGAATTAGTGATGAAGGAGTCAATTAAATTGAAACCATAGTGTTGAAAACATTTACGTATATCAATAATTATTATTTCTACATACTTGACTTCAAAAAACTCTTAAATACAATTTCATTACTTAAGTGTTAAAATAATTTTGTTTATTAGACTGAATATTCTCAAACGTATAATGCTTTATACTACTGATTGACTGATATAAGTAGTTAGGTATCGCTCACATTAACTAGTAGTGCTTGCTACACCACATATTGCGAGCTGAATAATCTCTGTTTGTAACTAAGATTGTTTAACTTGCAAATTGTGAATACGGTCGCATATTCCCAAAGTTCGTTGCTTCTTACTTTCTGTGAAATAATAATGTAGATGAGACTGCTAGACTGATTTTGAAACCTGTTCTCAAAAGCAACTCAAGCAATGAAGGCAACAAATCTTTTTTCTTCATTTCTTTGCTTTTCCAGTGGAAAATAGGGCTCTAAACTTTGATCTTTCAGTAACCTGAGGTTCAGTCGTGCTTCTTTTCTAGGTTTATTACAGGCCAATAAGCTGCGATAAATAAACTAGAAGATAAATATAATGTATGAGTACTAAACGATTTAATTGAGTTTAGTGTGTTAACTTTATGTTTGTATTTTAATTTTCAGAATGAATGTTATACCTGTTTAATTGAATGTATGTCTGCATTCACCCAACAAGCAGAAAAAGTTGGAGTAAGTTCATCTTTCTATGTTTAGAAATTTACCTTGAAGATTATATTTCAGTTTATCGGTTTCTTTTCACTGTAAATCTTTTAAGTTCAGTTAGTATGGATTTAATATCTTGATATTATTATTATTATTATTACACTTTTAGATTCCGAGTGAAACACAGAGCTTCAACAACAAATCTCCACTTTCTTCTATTTTATGCCATCCTCTTCAGCTGACTACACCATTGCTCATATTCCGTCATCTCCTCCTCACCACACAATTTCCTCCATGTCACCCTAGGACGGCCCACTCGTTTCTCCTCATTGGGATGCCACTCGAGCGATGGCCTGCATGGAACACAATGTCATTCGATGACCTCTTCAACATATGCCCAATCCATCTCCATTTTCTTCTGCATATTTGTTGAGCAATCGGTTCTCGGTTGGTTTGTTCCACTGCACAGTTTCTTGTTGCTAATTCTTTCTGACCGGCTGGCCACGTGATCTTCAATATGGGGCCAAAGAAGTGGGCAACCTTTGAAAAAAGTCTGTAACTTTTTAGAAGCGATCTTTGTGATACACTAGTCAAGTTTCTGACCCGTACAGAAGGACTGACTGTAGTAACATTTGTGTTGAAAATCCGAATCTTGTGCCTTATGGTGAGCGCTTAAGATTTCCAAACTGATTTCAGGTTGATGACGGCAAATCTTACATTTCCGATTCTGACTGGCTGGCTGTGACATCTTCGTTTGTGCCATCCGCCTGTGGTTGAAACCATGCTTCCTGGTGAGAAAAATGAAGGAAATAACTTCATTCAAATCCCTTCCATTGATGGTGATTAGTGCTGGTTGTTGTTGCTGTCTCTGCTGATTGGTTATCTCCATCATCTCCATCTTCTCAATGTTCACCTGAGGTTCTGTCTTCACTGCCAGCCTCTTCTGCTAGTTTGTTGGTTTTCGCCTTCATGTCTTCAAATTTCTGTGACATTAGACATGAATCATCCATGTGCAAAATCCAGATCTTCTAGTATCTTCTTATCAGTAGTCCAACGTATTCTTGTCTTCTCACTCCCAGTGCACAGTCTCACGCATAATCCAGTCTACTACAATTAGGAGTATCAATGCTGATAACAGGCAGGTAGCCTTGTCTTACTCATGTATTCATTTCAAAGGCTTCACAGAGTTTCCCATTACGGATCACCTCACTTGTGGCACTGTCATATAGCTGTTGAATGAGGTTGATGAAGACTTGGACACTGCATGCCGTAGGTTTGAAGCAGTTTCCAAATTACCTCTCGGTCACCACTGCACTGTCGAAGGCCTTTTCGAAGTCGATGAAGTTGAGGTAGAGACTTAACTGCCATTCTATGCTTTATTCGACGATGATGCGTAGAGTTGCAATTCGATCAGAACATAATTTGTCTTTCCTTAATCCAGCTTGTCCCAGGCCGGTGGAGCTCGGCATCCAGTGCATTTTTAATTCTCTCCAGGATGACGCAACCTCGCCTAGTTTACCAACTCACTAGTTTTCTAGCTGGTCCCAAGCCCGAGTAAAGAAGGAGGGTTGGCCGTAACGCTAGCGACCTCACCCCAGAAAACCAAACAAACTACTATAGAAACTTCAACGTACAATTTAAAAAATATCTTGAGAGTGATTGCTTAATTTTAGAACTTTTCTATCCCAGGATGGTTGAACTTTTGATAAGTAAGGCACTTTTATTTGACCATTTGCCTTCTATATAGATGAATGAAGTGTAAATCTTTATGAAGGAATATGTTATTTTGACAAGTATTGACGAAATATGTTGAAAGATGTGTCACTGCTTGATTTTTTTTGACTTCTACCTTTTGAAATGGAACATGCGACTACAAGCTGTCGGAGTTTCAGTAGCGGTGGTGTTTTTACTAGGTAAGGTTTCTAGGCTCACGCCCGACTTTCTCTATTCTTTGGGTTTACTATAAGCTAGTAAAGTAGACCATGAGTGAGTCGTGAGGAGATCGAATCGGGACCATGTGCATGATTGACAAGCATTCTACCATTGATGCACTGACGCATATTTGGTTGAGTCAACAGAATCGAATGCTGTGTGTACAAGCCATTTGATGATAATAGAGCGATAAAATCTTCGAAGCGTTCCCAAGCAAGAATGAATCACCGAAAACACTGAATAGATATCTAAATAAGATTAAGATTAGGTTAACATTTAAACCGACTGATTCAATTAAACAACAGCAATTCAAGCTTAAAGATCCTGTAACCTGAATTAGATACATTAATTTAACTGATCAAATATAGTAGGATGATTTTTCAATGAAATATATAAATCAAAGTATTCAAATTAGTGGAACACTGGACTGTATGCACTGGTTCTTAATCATACTGTAAAGTGGAACTGAACAGACGGATATCTGAGGCTGAATATATTTACACATGGCATAAACACTACAATAAAATATTAGGGAAGAAAAAAGTTACACAAGGTAGTTTACTGCCACCAATATTATTCTTCATTATAGTGCACTGTGTCATGCGATAGACAGTGGGGAGCAAGAAAAAGGGCATATGCTGCAGTGACAAGAAGACAATGAAAGATCAGGACTTCGTGAAAAATTTATATCTAATGCCAAGCAAACTCAAAGATCTACAGGCTAAAACCAAAACGTTGGCAGAAGAGGTAGCTAAGACAGGACTTCAGGTGAACATAGAGAAGACAGATGGTGAAGACACCTAACCGTCAACAACAACATCAATCAGTTACAGTCTACAGGAGGAATCTAGAGGAAGTCATTTCTTTTATTTATCTAGATGGTTCAGTTTCAGTTGCAGGTGACACGGATGAGGGTATTAGATGAAGGATCGGAAAAGAAAAAAAGACTTTCCTTACTCTGAAATCACTATAGAAATCTGCTGTACTCAGAATAAGGAATAAGAATCAGATTTTGAACACTAATGTCAAGAAGGGACTTTTATGTGCTTCAGAGACTTCCCCCCGTGTCACCAAAATCATCTACAACAGGCTATTACCTTCGCACTGTACTGCACATCAGACGGCCCATCAGGAAGGATAAACGAATAGAGACTCTGGCAGCGAACCAAATAAGAGTCTATCAACCAACTAATATTCAAATGTCAGTGGAGATGGATTGCATATACACTGAGAAGAACTTCAGCGACATTGCACGCCAGACTTTAGAGAGAAAATCGAATAGGAAATGATAAGTTGGGTGTGTGTACGAGAGCATGACATAGTGGAGACAGTAAGAGGTGAAAATGAGAGCTAATGAACGGTCATGGAGCCTATTAACAAGTACTGCAGTACTGCTGCTGTAGCTAAATGTTCCGCTTGGAACCCAAAAGAATGATATTGATGATAAATTAAACTTCGTTTGTTAGTTTCAGAAATCATATATCACTGATTGGTGTTCCTTGTATTTAATTATGCATAGTTATACTCTAGATAATTTGGTATATTTCATCATTTATGAATTTTTTCTAGGTGACCATTATCAAAAAATTTCCTTCAATGAAACTCTGACAGTATCTGATATCTTATGATATACATGTATTCACAACATTATTGAATGTCAGATTAGAATGAACTAAAAGTCTCGTAAACAACTATAGAAATAAAATGAAATAGGTATTTATTTTCTTTATTTTGTAATGAGAGAATGTGAAACTGAAATGTACTGAAAGTAATATGAATGTTTTTCATTCATTGATAAAGATTTAGTGGAAGTACATGTAAACAATTATATAAATCTCACTACAATCATTTTCTAAAAAAAGAAATCTAGTAAACTTAACAATAATCTTGGATAGTTTTCCCACTTTACTACAATGATTATGTCACTGATTTAGGTCTATGATAATGTTCAGACTGTAACGACAGAAGACAAGGGCCAGGCAACAGATCGTTTATTGAGAAAATCAAGAGGTATTTATAGATTTCTATGTACATTACTGTCAGCGGAGAAGCAACGTCTTCTGATTGGTTGTTTTCTTGCTGAAGGTTATTCTGTACTGCTTGTGACCGTTTCTTAGAAAGTTAAGTCATATATCTGCGAATCGTATTTGCACACGTTAAGTCTACTGTGATTAGTTGATGAGTTCCTCAAGGTTAAACTTTATTATTGTTTTTTCTCATGACCCCGATTCGGGACGTAAACATTGACGTAAATTGTTGTCTACAATTTCGGCTTGCAGACAGCTCTCACCACAAGATAAATTCAATCACTCTTTTAAAGTGGCCAAAATACTGACATGTTCTCACTATTTAACTTTTTCCTTTTGTATTCATTGGCGTTCCCAGAGGCTTCGGTCTTTAAGCTTCGAAGTTTCAGTGCCGATGTTTTTATTCCCTCTATTCTGGGCTCACTATCGGCTAGTGAAGTTCGCGAGGCTTAGGAGTTCATCGCTAGGGTATCGAACCGGGTATTAAGTGCATGGTTGTCAAGCATTCTACCACTGAATCACTGATGCACTCACTGTTCATTAGATTTTGCAAATTTTCACTTAGCTTTGTTCCATTTGAAGTTATTAGGAGGACCTTAAATAGAGATAAGATCACTTATATTTGAGTTAATCCCATTAAATAGAAAAATTATAAATGTAATTTAATACAGGAAGGTAAACACCACTCAAATCAACCTTTATACACGATTATGTAACATGTAGTATGATAGAGAAAAGTTTGTGTAACTTGACTTAATCACTTCATTTTTCATGTATATCCTGTGGATCTAGTATAAATGTGACTTTGAACCGTTGTGTAGTAATCTGTTTATCTAATGACTAACTGGTACTTGAACCTTGACCATTTTATAATACCCTTGTACTACTTCAGTTTTCTTATTGGTCTGCAGGAGTTATTGAGTCGGAATTATTCTATGCAGAGCATATATTGATTTTTAATGTAATTATAACTTAATTTCTTTCATCTTATCTCTTTACATCCTATAAATTGATAGATTCAACTGAAGGATATGAAGAAATCAAATGATGTCAATCTGTTGTCGGATAGTCTTTATGCACCTGGAAAGAAAGTAAGACGTCGCCATCTACGTCAGGATTATTTAACACAAGATCAATTTAGAAAGAGATCAGACTGAAGAATAAAACAATGATATATATATAAATAAATATGTAACAGAAATAAGTAGTATAGTTCATAAACCATATGTTCGGAAAATTATCCATGTCAATAAACAACTAGCATCTCAACAATTTTCTATCACTATGATTATTGCTACTACCATTATAATTAATAATATTTTTAACCGCTGAATAGTATATCACTTATGATCATATAACAATCTCTTGTAAAATTTGACATCATTTTGTTTTAATCACTTTCATTATTTAAAGAGCGCTCATTATGAACATTTCTTCCACTATTACTATACGCTAATTATAATTACCTCATTTTTAAAACAAGTATTATTTCATGTACACGTTTGAGAAACAATAAATATGTATCATTAAATTGCTTGTCGTATATACAGCTTTGTTTCTCCTCTTCAAAGTATGCAAAATGTTATAATTCACAGGATTATAAATATCCAAAATCAGTTAACATATTCTTCCTGGAAATATCTGAATAATCTCTATCTCTGCTGATTCGTGAATATAAATTCAGTTGTTTTAACTCTCATAACATGAAGACTACTGCTAATAAATGAAATTATCATCTGTCTAAAGAAATGAGCAAATGGTGATTATCATTGATAAAACTGGTTGTAGTCAATACATGACTTCAAATAGCTAAGTGGTCACTTCTTTAACTGTAGCATTAAGTTACGTGAGTTTGAATTTCCAAGGGGATATCAGTTATCCTGAGGTTGCAGATACGCCGTTTTGATAAGTATCAACAAACACAGAAACTAGGCTCAGAGCTTACTGTCGATTACTTACCACCGTCGAATGTGAATTCAAAGCTGAGTGTGGTGATAGGTCAACTTGTTTGGAGACCATATTGCAAACTTGACTAATAGAAGTGAATGAAGATTAAAAATGAAGGTTATGTAGAGGATACTATTCTCCCCTTAGTGACCAGTCAGATTATCTCCAACAATTGTACAAAGTTTTATACTACTAGTTGTTGGCACTTGTTCCAGCATCGTTTTGAATATTCTTTTTTTCTCCTCTTAAATCTGTAGTACACCCCTCATGGTAGTGAGATAATCCTGAGACTAAAATTAACTGATCAAACCGAATCAATTTAGTATGAAACAAATAAGTATCCTATCCTCCCACATGTGCTTTGGGTGCTTTAAGTTTTGTTTTAACGGATAAACATCCGGATTAGCTCAAATGCCATTTTGCGCTCACTTCTTCTGCTCTTAACACACAGAGACTGTGAGTCCATAGTTTAGCCATATCAGCTAGATAAGTTCTAAATCTTTTTCCCTAAATAAAAATTTTTCATTTTATTCAAATATACTGCTCATCAAAGCACATTACTAGATAAGTGAGTCTTTTTGATTTGCTTTTTTTATCAGTACTTACTAGTCAGGTAGAGTACTGATTGACTGGGTAATTAGACGCTACTATCAGAAAGGCTGTTATAGTGTAGCCAATCAGTAGCACTACTAGTGTGGTGAGAGTTGTATGCTAGCCAAAATCTGTAGACAGCAATTTACGTCAATGTTTACGTCCCAAATCTTGGTCATGAGAAAAATACAAGAATAAAGACTAACTCAACAACCAATCACAGCAGACTTAACATGGGTGGATATGATTAGCAGATATATAAACGGACTGTCTAAGAAACTGTAGTGACCCGTTTTATTACTCATCATCGCAGTATACTTTCACTATGTATTGAAACGGCAACAAAGAGATGATAGAATAACCTTTAGCAGGAAAACAACCAATCAGAAGACGTTACCACTCTGTTAACAATAACGAATAATAATGTACATCAAAACCTATAAATACCTCTTGATTTTCTCAATAAACTATCTGTTGCCTGGCCCTTGTCTTCTGTCGTTACACTTATACCTTACAGATCAATAATTCTGCAGTAAAATCTTAGACAACTGACTATTTACCAAAAAAACACCCTTGTCACAGTGCCCTTGACTACTGTTAAGAATTTCGCATAATTTGTCCAATGAACTTACCGAGTACAGTATTATTGTGTCTGTTTTCACCTAAGAAAATCGATCATAACCTATGAAATAAAATTCACCACTCTTTTTGGCGGAACTTACTTTGCAGCTAAACTAAATGTCATTGAGAAAACGAGTTTTATGTTGCCTCGCAAGCCATCACAGCATCTGAACGATAATGTCACATATTACCATGTCGTCAAAATTGCAAACTGAGGACCCATCGATCTCTACATTTTAGGGCTGCAGAACATATTACCAGGTATTTGCAAGAAAAGATAAAAGTTGCCTATTGGAAGTGACCCAGAAAAACATATGTCCAACGTGATCTTTCTCAAAGCACGTAGGAGAGACGAATCACAGTCTTCATAGCATGAGCGTATCTAAACTCTTATGAATATGACCATCAATAGAATTGATAGCTTGTGCTAACAAACTTCCTACCTGGTCGATTTGCGAGCCTGCTTTTTCAATCACTAGCGGCAACAACAACGAACATTACGATACAACCAAACTCGCAACGCAAGAAGACAGACGTTGACGTAGAGAACTCATACTGTCTCAAAAAGGGTTGGCAGCAACTATATATATGCCTTGAAAGGTCTTGAGAGACACTAATTACACTGATAAGTCAAAACAGTCAGCAACCAATAGGGTTCTACGATCATAAGTAGAAGGTAAATACAAACAGCACTGTAGTGTTGAGATAAATGTAATATTTTAGAAAAATTAGTTCTATGTAACACTTACATAAAACAGGTTTGGGTCACATACTTAAATCCACTCCAACCGTTGCCATAAAAATGCATAGACGCGTTTTACGTGATCAAAAAGTATTCGTTTTTGCTTTGGGTCTGAGTTGGCAATCCAAGATTTATTTAACGTAATAATATCTTCACATCCTACATCTTAGTGATTTGCCTGCAAATATTTATCCCGCACTATGGGTTCAGCGCAAATAATTAATTTTATCAGACAAAAATACTTTGAATATGTGTACATATCGTTACATTGAGTCTCAAGTGGAATACAGGGCTTCAATATCACATCTCAACTTCGTACTGTTCTCTGTGATTTTCTTTTTCCTAGTCTGCCACTACACATAAGCTTTCATATCTTCCTCTCTCAATGTCCCCCATACTACTTACTGCTCCACACCTAGCCAGTTCTTTACCGTTCGCGTTCTAATAGAGGGTCTGCCCAGCCTGTGATATCACTCAATAGTTTCCTCATCCTATGTCTAATCCACCTCCATTTCCTTCGGTATATTTGTTGAACAATAGGTTCTTGGTTGATTCATTGCCAGATTCCTCTTCTCTTATCCTTTCTGGCCGGCCATCTTATCTTCAATACTGACTGTCAGAGGTAGTGACCGAAGTCTTCAGCCCACATGGAATGCCTTCGGTGACGCGCGTACCAAGTCTATATAACGTATAGAAGAACTTATTGGATACCAGTGTTGAAAATCTGAATCATATTCATGATTCTGAGTGCAAGTGATTTCAGTACTGATTTCGGATATATGACTGTTTGCCTTGGTCTCCCTATCTTGGGTCGCCTTGACATCCTCATTTATGCCACCTAGACTAGTGAAAGAGGTTACCCTATATCGATTTCTCCCTTTTATGATGATTGGTGCTGTTCCTCTCACGCTAACTTGAATGGTACCTTCTCTGCCTCTAATAATTTTGGAGGATTATTTACCACTAGAGCTCACTTCACCCTAGTGATGTCATGGGAAGTCTACGACAACAACAGCTGAAAGTAAAAACCTACCGCTTCATCCCCACACGTAAGCAACCACAATAGTAACAAGAGACAAGCTATGAGTGACCGTCTCCCGAACCTTGTCTCTTGGAGTCTGTGGTCATTCAACCCTAATGGCCATTCTATTTTAAGTAATCCAGTCATTAAAGCCTGTTTTCAACAGTGGCTGTATACGTCCTATGCAGAACGAGAACCACAAAATATGATGACGTTTGGCTATAGGAACAGGTTTGCCAATGACAGAATTATTTTTCTTCTTAAAACGTTAAGTGTGTCACCTTAACCTGCCACGAAGGGGTGTATGGGGATTAAACTTCATCAAATTGATTGAACCTTCAACAACCTACCTGTTTTTGCGCGAACTGAAATACATGGTGGGTATATGGGTTTCCAAGAAATAAGGGTGAAGGCGTACGTTGCAGTGTGGTTGCGTATCTCTACACTCTCTTCATACCATCGTTAGTAAATACATCTTTCAACATATGTAGGCTTTCTATTCTCCCTTTGCCAGTTGGAGTGATGTTGAGAGCAGCCTGACTATAAGTTTATGTGAACCAGGGTAAAGAGCCAGCAGGTACTGTGACTAATGCTCAGGTCCAGCAGGATAGATAGCCACACAATAATCATGAGTGTATTTCTAGTTGAAGTTAGCCGGAAGTGAGCTCGAAGTAGTTCAGGCAGAGCAACTAATTGGCTCCCTACAGGTGTGCTGCATATAATAGCCACAGGTTTTTCATGTTGTGTAGATGCAGGCCAAGTGGAGATTTGGTTCATTCGCCAGACCTACAGTCCTCAACCAGCCTAAGTCTAGAGTCGGCAAGCGACAACAAGTGCACTCAGCAGAAAGCCGGAGCCTTATCCAGGTAAGAAATTTACAATAAATTGACACTATGTTGGAAGCCATTTCTAGGAAGGCTTTTAAGGTCTCTGTACCTCAGTGAAGGCCGTATGATATACGAGGTCATTCCGTAGGCGGTTATTGAAAAAGGCATACAGTGGGACGATAATGTTAACCTGGTAGGGAGTGCTCCCTCTTCACGACTTGTGAGGTTTCTTATCTCCGTTGGATTGCGCCAAATGATGAATGCTCTTCTGTGTTTTTGACTATGCTTCCCCACCTGACATGTCCGCCAGAGTACTTATGAAGTCCCTGTTTAACACCCGCCGCCTTCTCACTCTAAACACGCTATTGGTAGGCTGTTCTGTTATCCCAAGCGGAGACTCGGTTACCAAACTTCAACTCATTCACGAAGAAAACAGTTTTATCCGTGATTTCCAGTATATGTTCTTTAGTCGCTTAATCTTGGAAAATATCTTACCGGTCTCATAAGCTGTCAGTTTATTCACCATCTGTTGTGAGTGTCCCAAACTGTGACTTCGTTTATCACCTTCTGTCCGTCGGTCACTTTCCTCCTTCTGAAACATTTGATTTATACATACTCCACTCGCGGCGCCCATTTGAATTTTAACGCGATTATGTGTTTTTGAGATATTCTAGTCCTTGTGGCCATTTGTCCTGACAGACCTGCGATTCTACCACACGACTGTCCGACTCCTTAGCCCGGCACACCCAAGCCTGGTGTTACGTCTGCCCTTTAATCCACTCTAACTGAGAA